AACTTTTTATACAGGTAGACTGGGATAGAACAAGACAACAGTTTTAAACCAAAAGAGGACCGACTTAGATTAGATGATAAATTCTTGGCTGTGAGGGTGGTGAGGCACTGACACAGGTTGCCCAGAGAAGCTGTGGCTGCCCCATCCTTGGAAGTGTTCCAGGCCAGGTTGGATGGGGCTTGGAGCAACCTGGGCTAGGGGAAGGTGCCCATGGCAGGGGCATGGAACAAGATGATCTTTAACATCCCTCCCAATCCAAACCATTCTATGATTCTATGAACTGGGATAAGACACATTCACTCCTTAGCCTGGCTCTAGGAAATCAAAGAGCTGTAAACTAGCCCAAATTATTTGACACTCAGTTTTGCAAGTCTCCTTTTCCAGAGGCAGCACTACAGACAAGGACAGAACATCACCATTCCTGAGGCCACATCCACTTAAGACAGATGGAGGCAATGGCCCAAGGCACAGGCACATGACTAAAAGGGTCTCAGTGATCACAGCTCTGGGCTGTGGTTCTGTGCTGAAGCCAAGATAAAACTCAGGATAAGAAATCCCAAAGATCAAGAGACAATTAATTTGATGCCCTTCAGTGGTTGACTGAAATAGCAAATCATTTGATACTCAGAGCTGGAAATAACTGATTGTCTTATGCAAGAAATTAGCTGCAGTAAACCCCCTTCCGACCAAGAGAGAAGAAATTAACTGTACAGCTCTAAGGCAATTATTTCCTCTGCAAGCAATCTTCCAAATAGACAAGGAACTGTCAAGTATCATGCAAGAGAAAACCTCCTGAATACCTAAAGGAATTGGAAGTTTGATGAACAAGGCACACCTTCCACTAGACCAGGTTGTTGTAAGGCACAACCAATCTGGCCTTGAACACCTCCAGGGATGGACCAGCTACAGCTTCTCTAGGCAACTCATGACCCACACCTTGTATACAATTTGGGGCCAATTATTCTCCCATAGTGACACTCTATGCTCACTAAGGACTCACCTCAAGAAGGATGGGTGCTAAATTAAGATCATCTCTTCATATGTAATGAAGAGCCTTCACTGAAGTCAGGCCCAAACAATCAAGGCTGTGGGAATGAAGGAAAGATATAGTAAAGCAGCAATAAAGCTGTTTTTGCTCTACAGGCCTGAGAGTTGAAAACCAAAGCCACTGCACTCTCAATGTCCCATACTTAAAAGTTAATAAAAAGCTAATTAAATAATTTAAAGGAATAACCCTGGAGCACCAAGACCACTGCTCAAGGGCTTATGAAAGCTCAGCTCATGCCTGTGCCCCAGCACACCTGGGTGCCACACACACTGGATGCTCAAGTGGATGACAACTCAGAGACGCCAGCTTGTCACTGCCCTGTGTTCACTCACCACAGCCTAGTGAGTTCTTAATATTCATCTGCTCTAACAGGAAGTTTTCATGGTGTAATCTCAATTTCTCTGCGGTGAATAGCAGGGCAGGAGTTCACTTCCCCCTTCCACTAAAGCCTCATCTTCCTCAGATACTCCACACACATCCCTAACTTAGCTGTGGAGTCTGTGAGGCCAACTACCTGCTGAATGGTCTCTCACTAATGCTTTGGAAAGCTGAGCAATTCATTCCCATTTTTTATTGTACTTTACCTTTGATAATGACAGTGAATTATTTTTGCTATTATTAGGCATAAGTCACTAATTTTCCTTTGGAAAAAACTCCACATTTGTATGTTAGTTAAGAGTCAAAGAGCTGAAATCTTAACTTGAAATTTATGCTCTTCTCTAACATTATCCAACTGAAAAAGCTCCTCTGTGAACTTCGTGAGGGATTCAATTTTAGCAATAGAAAAGATGGGGATTGAAACAATTTGTGCTCACATCCATATGGAAGTTATTAGGAACCCTCAGAATTAACACACATTGTTTTGACTTGGGAATGTAACAGCAAAGCAAGTTTCCCCCAAATAAATGCTCTACCAAGCTAGCACTGAGCTGCTTCTAATTCCAGCTGAATTCTCCTGAGTGCAAGATGTGGTTTCCATTGTTATTATCCTGCTGTTTTACAAAACAGTTCCACTTTATCTCTAGAAGAGTTTTTATGTCAGTAATTTTACTTACTATCAACCCTGTCTCACTCCTTCCCCACTCACGTTTCTCCCTGCTGCCACAACTTCAGGAAATTGTGAAAGGAAAACCAGGGAAGCTTACACAGATCCTTTCAAGTAATTCTTTCAGTTTATAAAAGCTTTTTCTAGGCTCTTTGTTTCTCCCCCACAGTGAGCAAGACTTGCATGAATGATTCAAGTGAGGTGATGGAGACTAAGGCTCTTCTCTTTGAGGCTCTAGTAAAGTCACCACTGTTCCTTCCACCTTCCCACAACACACAGAGGGAATTTAAGCAACAGATTCACATTTAATCATGACAAAAAGTCATTTGCAGGACTGGTTCTCTCAATTAAAGCCTTTGGGCCTTTAAAGATCCCTCCAGATAGTGAGGGACTGTGAGAATAAAGTGATGGTAGTGATAAGAGAGAAGCTGCTGCTCTTTCTCCATCCAGACTTAATCACTTTCACACATTCGCATGCACTAAGCATATCTGAAAGTTTCTCTGAAAGCAGCTCCAAGATCTACTTAAATTCAACAGTCTCCAGGGAACACACAAACTCAGGTTTTTAGGTCACAGAATCACAGACTATCCAGAGTTGGAAGGGACCCTTGAGGATCATCCTGTCCAACTCTTGTCTCTGCACAGGACACCCTAACAATCTCATCACGTGCCTGAGAGCATTGTACAAACACTCCTTGCACTCTGTCAGGCCTGAGGCCATGACCACTGCCCTGGGGAGTAGTTCCAGTGCCCAACCACCCTCTGGGGAAAGTATCCACTTAAGCCTCCCCTGACACAACTTCCAGCCATGCCCTCGGGTCCTGGTCACCAGAGAGCAGAGATCAGTGCTCCCCCTCCCCTGCCCCTTGTGAGGAAGCTGTATCCAGGTCGAGTCAGCCCCTGATCACAGAGGTTTTGAGAGGTATTTCTGCACATTATTTACCTGTTCTGCTTTCACAATGGAATTTCCCCTCAGAAAAACTGTAAAAAGCTGCAAGATTTGACCAAGGATAACAAAACAAAGGTGACTACAACAGTATATGTGGACATCAGTAACACTTTCCTGTTTAAACAGGTAGTAGAAGACCCCTAGAAAATTCTGATTTACTTTTATTATGTTTTTATAGCCAACAGCATAAAATCTGAAGCACTAACATGTGAACCACTAGTGGTGTACGAAACACTTCAAAGTTTGGCCACCAAGTACTCTAACTTGTAGCAGCACCAATGACCCCATGGAAATTTGGCAACTTTTTGCATAAATCCATACTCAAAGTCTTCATTTACTTTTATGAGTTTAAACACATGCCAGCAATTTCAGAAACCAGCTCTGAGGACTTGGAAGGCAACATGGGTGACTGACCATGTGTTCAGCTGCTCAGAGTACTTCAAGAATCGGACAAGGAGAAAATCAGAATGAGAGGTTTCAGTAGGTCCAACAGAGGTAACAACTCTGATGTGACAAGTCAGAGATAAACAGGAAAACAAGTGAAGTGGTGACAGTTACTGTAAAAAAATACTACAGGGCACAAGTGGCAACTAATCCAGACTAACCCTACCCTAACCCCCTCTACCCTGCTCATGTGAGGCCCCACCTGGAGTACTGCACACAGCTCTGGTGTCCCCAACATAAGAAGGATATGGAAACTGTTGGAGCAAGTCCAGAGGAGGCCACAAAGCTGGTAAGAGAACTGGAGCACCTTCCCTATGAAGACAGACAGAGTTGAGGCTGTTCAGCCTAGAGAAGAGAAGGTTGTGTGGAGACCTCATAGAAACCTGCCAGGATCTGAAGGGGCTAAAGGAAAGTTGCAGAGGGATTCTGCATCAGCAACTGCAGTGATAGGACAAGGAGTAATGGAGATAAACTCAAAGAGGGGAAATTTAGATTAGATATTACGAAGATCTTTTTCACTGTGAGGGTAGTGAGACACCGGCACAGGTTGCCCAGGGAGGTTGTAGATGCCCCAGCCCTGGCAATATTCAAAGCCAGGTTGGCTAAAGCCTTGAGCAACCTGCTCTGGTGGGAGGTGTCCCTGCCCAGGGCAGGGAGTTAAGACTAGATGATCTCTAAGGTCCTTTCCAACCCCTTGACATACTACGAAATGACACGAACTGGGAAGACAACCAACTTGGGCTCAATGAAGAGTTGATCATCTTGATGAAAAGAAGCACAGAGCCTCTTGCTCGCATTCACGTAACTGAATGGTAAACTCAAGATTAAAAGCATGAAGGGCTGAAAGGCAAAGCGCCATCACAGACCCTGAGTTACAGAATAAGCTGATGTATTTATGGAAGCAGAGATTAAGGAAAGCATTGACTTGATAGGAACAGAGAGAGAAAGCTCAAAGCATTTGAAGGAATGAGGATTTAATCCCTTTTCTTCCCTAGGAAAGTCAAGTGTGAACAGCTGGCTGCCATTTCTAATACCACCAACAAAGAGGCACAGTCTCAGTTACATTCACAGGCTGGTTAAGTGAATTTCCAAGATTAACAGGACTTGATTAACTTCATCTGAAGCTATTTTAGCTTTTAAGTAATTTCAGAGCCATTGGAGGTTATCATCCAAAACACACTAAGAATGGGCAAGACACCAGAAGTCTGGAAAAGGGTAAATGCAATCCAAGCTTAAAAAACAAACAACATAAAAAGACTCAAAAGCTTCACTTCAATTCAGGGTGAGGAAAGGTGAAAAAGTGGTGGAAGAGAGAACTGAAAACAAACAAGTAGAAACTAAGCATTAAAAAGTCAGATTATCAAGAATAAAACTAATCATATTTCAAGCCTTGCAAACAGGTTAGAAACAGAAATGTCATTATTTCTGTTGGAATTCCAATCTCCAGGCACTTTCTGGGATAATATAAATAATATACAAAGAACAATTAAAAAAATCATCTCAAGCATACCAACCTGTGCTATATTTTTGTTGAGAAGATAAACTCCGTATTCAAACTGAAGCTTCTCCCCTCCTTTTGGATATAAAGGAAATCTGATGGGAAAGAAAAAAGGGGAAAAGGTATTTAAGGTGAAAATCTTCAGACGCTTATGTAAACATCAAAAAGCCCCAAACTCCTTTTCTGAGCAGGCAAGGACTTGATGACTTCTCCTGGGAATCCTTTCCTCAAGACACACTTAGGAACCTTCTGCAGCTCCAATCATCCTTTCATAAACCGATGTCAAAACTCAGCTAAGGAATTCTGGGGTTTTTAAGTACTTCAGGTTGTTAAAAGATGCTTTTTAGGTTTAAAGCACTTACAGCTCACAGGTAATATT